ATACAAAGTAAAGCAAGAAAATCTGCACTTGGCTATGGATAAAAAAGAGAAATCCAAAGAGAAAATGGAAAAGAGGCGCCAAGAGATCTCCCTCCTCCGCACCATTCCTTATTCCGATCACCAGAGGTATTCCATCCATTTCATTCATCCACATCTTTACCAATTTTATTTTCATTTTTCTTATTTAATTCAGTCGTCTTCTTCAATTGAATTCATCGGATCATTGGCACTTTTGTATGTCTTCGATTATGGGTTGAAAGATATTTTAAAAATCGAGTAACTTTTCAGATGGTGGAGCTCGGAGACTATAGCGGTGGTGACCGGCGCAAACAGGGGAATTGGGTTCGAGATCGTGCGCCAGCTGGCGCTGCACGGTCTAACGGTCATCCTCACGTCCCGTGACCCGGGTGTCGGTGAAGAGGCTGCGAAAGTTCTTCAGGAGGGCGGCTTAAACGTCGTGTTCCACCAGCTGGACATTTTAGACCCTCAATCCATCGAGAATTTTGTCGAGTGGGCCAGAGAAAAATACGGCGGTATAGATATATTGGTAACTTGGCCTTCTCCTCCTTACCCTTTAAAAATAATTTTCATTTGTGATTAGCCTTTCGTAGTCGGTTGATATATTACTATTGCATATTCTTGGATTTTTTTTTTTTTTATTGATTGCGGACGAAGTTAATTTCTCTAGGTAAACAATGCTGGAGTAAATTTCAACGCGGGTTCGGATAATTCTGTGGAATATGCAGAGAAAGTGATTGGTACCAACTATTTCGGGACAAAAAGTATGATCAAGGCCACGATTCCTCTATTCAGACCTTCGGAAGCAGGTGCACGTATTGTCAATCTCAGTTCTCGATTGGGGAGATTAAACGGAAAACGAAATGTAAGTCACAAGTTTTCGCCTCAATAGTTTAGTTTCCCTTCTGAATCTTTCGGCACATGTTAAAAATAATTTCGTCGACTAATAATAACGAGTTAGACTTTGGAACTTTATTTGAGTAAATTGAAATTTTAGTCCTGTATGTTTTACTACCATAACATTGTCGTCCCCTTCTAATTAATTTTGGTTTTTCGCCCTTGATGTTTAAAAAAAGGTTATAAAAAGGTCCCCGAGCGTACATAAGGGATGGAGTTGCAACTTTTTTTGCAAAACATAAAGACCTTTTTATTGCGAAATGACCTTTACAAAAATAAAAAAAATAATTCGAAGAAGACGAAAAAATTAGGATAGTGAAACACACAGGAGTAAAATTGCAATATACTCACTTTATTTCAACAAAGTTTCTCCATCTTGATATGATCTTGATATGGGATGTACAAACTACCCAGAGAACATTTTTTTTTTTTTCATTTTTGTAGAGAATTGAAAATGTGGAGCTGAGAAGAAAACTGGAGGACGACGAGTCGCTAACCGAGGAATTAATCGACCAGACAATGAACACGTTTCTTGAACAAGTGAAGGATGGCAGTTGGGTGGATGGCGGGTGGCCCCACGTATTTACGGACTACTCACTGTCGAAATTGGGTGTAAATGCGTACACAAGGCTGATGGCGAAGATTTTCACGGGCAGGCCCGAAGGCCACAAGATATACATCAACTCCTACTGTCCTGGCTGGGTGAAAACCGTGATGACGAGCTGGGCAGGCCACGTCAGCCCTGAAGAAGGGGCCGACACTGCAGTTTGGCTGGCCCTGCTGCCCGAGCAGTTTGTGACCGGCAAATTCTTTTCCGAGAGGCGGGAAATACATTTCTGAAAAACCAAAGGGTGTGATTGCTATTATTTTCTGGATGGAAATGAGTGGTTTATTAGTTGTGTGCATCTGCTGGGGGCTTTTGTTGAATGAGTGCAGTGCGATTCAAATGCGAAGGCTGCAGCTTTTGTTAGTGTGTGTGATAAAACACATATTTTTTTTGTAAGACGGCCTAATCGCTTGTTGGATCTGTCCATTATGTTTTTAGATGAATATATTCATGCTATGAAAAATCTTATTTTTATTCATGTTATATTTAAATTATGATATTTTAATTTGAAAATATACATATTTATTGAAAAAGTAGAGATTAAAAAAACAAAAATAATAAAAATTGTTGTATCCAGTTCACTTAAATTGCCAACCATTCCAGAAAACTAAACCGCCTCTACTCTATACCGAACACCCACAAGTGTTCCACAATGCTTTATGTCTAATTAAAAACTGTCACATGCCTTGTAGAAAATAAGTTTAGTTTATAAAAAATGGGAGAAGGCTACAGTCTATGATTTCGTGAGAGTTTTTAATATGAATTATCTACCATAACTAACTAACTTACATGTATATTTAAATACTAATATAATAACTTTAACGGAATCATTTGGTGACGGGACTGTAGTATTTTTTTAAAAAATATTTTCAAATACAATTAAAAGTAGACATAATCAAGCTTATGTGACAATAAAAAAAAAAGACCAAATTAATTCTTGAATCTATTTTACACTTAAGTACAAACTTAAACATTCACCAATTATTCCCATTTTTTTAATAGAGAAAACAGATGGAAAATATTGGTGGTATATATCATTTTGTCGCGCAACTCCTCTCCATGTTCGAGGCTTCTTCTGGCAGATATAGAACAGTCAGCGACAAATTTTAACTTTGAGGAGATCGAACTCGAGTAAATTGCATATTCCAGGTTTTTTTTTTTTTTTTTATNAGGAAGATCTGTCCAATTTCGTTTATTTTTTCCTTTTTATTTTTGGTAGGTATAGGTATTTCCTTTTGCTTGGTTCGATCTTTGTTTCTCCTAGGACAATCTCCCAGTAATTTTTTCTAACTGGCTTGTGTAAACCCTTTTCCGCTTTCGTCTTTTTGCTATTGTTGTAGTTTATGATATTTGGGATATTGTGGAGGTGGGTTTGATGTCGATATGTGATTTATTAAAAGCGAAATTTACCCTCAAAGTCACCTCCCTTAATTGATTCTAGTGGTGTTTTTCGTTGATTCACTCTGCAAAACACAAATGCCCACTCTGAATTGCCAAAACCCTTGCTTGTTCTTTAAACCCTTTTAATGTTTTTGATGCACTGATCAGCTGAGGAAGACAAAGGTTACATTTTTAATTTTTTTTGGTGGCCAGTCTGATTTTTTTGCTTTTTATTACAGTCACATAAATGGCATCCGTCGTTTTAGACTCTGTTTCAGACTCCTTTTGTCGGGTTAAGTAGTATTAGTTTATGATGCAATTTATGTTGATTGTGGGCTCGTTCTTTTTGCTGCAAAATTTATGTCTATTTAGCCCGTTCTTGATTAGTTGTGGTTTTCTTGTGAAAAAATTTGCTGTTTGTGAGATTCACATAATGGATAATGAAGAACATGAAGTAGTGATTGGCTGGTTTAGAAATCTGGTGAAAGAATTTGCATCACTTTTCTACAAAAAACGGCATCAGACAGGATAATCTTGCATTGTCACAGTTTATCCTAATTAAAGTGGGAAAAAAACACTGTCAGCACACTAATGTAACAAGCACAATTTATTTTGCAACAGAACATACAATAATAACCCATTACAACCCATCTAAAATTATAATACACAGGCCCTCGCGCCCACTGTCTAAATTCTCAATCACACACACACACACACACACACACAGAGACATGGCAGGTCTGCGAAGGGCTATTTTCTCCACGGTCCCTCGTATTCTCAGCTCCCATCGGACGTCGCTCATCAGCTCCCAACCTCTTCACAGGTATTGCCAACTAATTTCATTTTTTCTGGTATTTTATCGGATTTTTTAGGTAACTTCATTAACAGGTGTATATATTTGATTTTGTAAATATTCTGACCCCTTTTTCGGGCTTGTTCAGGCCCATATTAAGTTCCTTCCCAAATTTCACCTCGTCAAGTTCAATCGGCCAATCCCTAAATATCGATCTGTCCGATGAAGAAAGCAAAAGGCGGTTGTTCAACAGGTGGGCTTGTTAATCGTGGTTGTCTCTTGCTTGTATTCGGGCCTTTATTGTTTACAATTGATTTCTGTTTTGTGAAATTGCTTGAAGCTTTTTGTTGATTGTGGTTTCTGAGTTATTTATGGTGTGTTTGGGTTTTCTAGGCTTCTGTATAGGAGTAAACAGAGAGGGTACCTTGAGCTTGACCTGATTCTTGGGAAATGGGTGGAGGATAACATTCGGTCCATGGATGAAAGTGGGATAAAATCTCTTGTTCATGTTCTTGACCTGGTATGCACTCTTGTTTATTAATTTTCCCATGTTTTAGGTATGCATTGCCGGAAAGAGCAGCTACCAGGGAATAAATTAGCCTGCTTTCTCTATAGTACTGGAAATTTCTTTCTCATGGAACTTTTGGTACAAAATCTGGAAAGAAGACTCTAGTACTGGAGGAAGTCTACTATGATAATGGAAATTTGAACTCATAATGTTTATTAATATGTTTGAGTGGATCTTTCATGCTGATATAGTTAGGGCAGGTGATCAAGCCATCTTAAGTGGCTTCAAGCCAAGCTCAGATGAATGGTTTGTGTACCTAGGATGATCATTCAAATACTTAAAAAAATTGAGTCTTGTATTGATTTGGGTCTGGTGTCTGATTGAATGGCAATTCATTTTAAAGTGAATCATAGGAAGATTGAGTTGTTTGTTGGTATTCTAGCCTTATGCTATGGGACCAACAGTTTTCACCTTTGTGGATTTTACGTATTTGTGCTAAGAGTTAAATATTAGATTACAGCTATATGGATTGGGGTCATTGTCCTATGAGTTATGACGCGTAATGTGCTCCTTCTATCCGTGTTTGAATGACCAGTTGAAGCTATTACATGAATAGGAAAAACTGGCATGCCTTTATTGTGTTGATCTAAACTGTGTTCAGCGACTATTAATGCTCACATCATTTTTTTCTTTTACTTTTCAAAAGGGTCTGGGGCTATGGTTGAGGAGAAATGACCATTTCAGGAAATAGAAGACATAATTACAAAAAATGAGAAAAGAATTGGATCATTCAAAGCAATGATGTGAATTGTGATAAACTTGAAAAGTTTTCTCATAGCTTCCTTTGCTGCCCATATGAACGCTCTTGAAATCTCAACTTTTAACTAAACCGAGCAATAGATCACTGCAGTACTGCACTCACATCTTGACATCTCGTGTTTTCCAATACCCTCATTTATGACTGCTGCTTATATAAATTTTACCGTTGAGGACCTAAGTGCTCCAGTTGCTTTCGCTTTGTAGTTAGTTGAGTTTCGCCCTGCATTCTAAAAGGGTATGTTTGTATACAAGATATATAAAAAAAATTTCAACATTTTAACTCAATCATTTTTTTTTAATTCAACTTTAACCCAACCCCACTATCATCAATATTATCAATATAATTAAATATTATCAATCAATTATTCATACACACCACATCAACCTTAATTCACTATCACTCACATTATTTTAACTAACCAATACTTCAAATCATCTCTCTCTTACTTTTACATCAAATCAATTTTAATTATTTTATTTTAAATATTATTTTAATATACCCACTATTAACTAACCATACTACCTTTTTCAAAAGTAACCAAACCAAACCAAACCAAGAAATTTAACAAAACCAAAATTTTCATATCCGAACATGTTCTAAATCTCCTGGGTGCTTAGATGAATGCTTGGTCTGTGAGCACATGTTAGCCTTCTTAAGAATTTTGCTATGTTCTGATTCCCATTTTCATGTTTATAAAATATTCATTCCTACTGAATACAGGAAAATCCGGATCTATGGAAATGGCTGACTGGTCAAGAGCAACCCCCTGAGCCAGTGAGCACGAATCCTGTAAGTCCAGAAAATAGAAAATTAATGCTATAATTTCCGTTATTGTTTGTTATTATTTGAAAATGTGTGGAAAAGATCTGCTATTCTGTTTTTGATTTGTAACTCTATAAAAAATCTTTGTCAGGTATTCTTGGCCGTGCGTGAGAAGGTGGCTAACAATCTTGACAATTATGCAGCAGCCGAGACTCGAGCCATGCCTGGGCAGTCGTGGGTTAGAGGTTGGGATGATTTCAAGAAGGGTAGAGACAGCCCCATTTCTGGGAACCAATAGTTGTTTTAGCTCCTATTGCTTGACAAATTGTAAAAGTGTGTGAAATTGTTCAGTCGTGGTACGAAGCTTTCAGTAGGTATGAGAATAAGGATGAGAAGCCAGTAGATCATTTATGCGAAACTGGTATCAAACTGCATCTGTTGTGCTAAACTGAAATGGGGCTTGAACTATGTGTTACATATATTCTTGTGTGAGTTAGTCTTAATGTTTTTGTTTTGGGGTCGATTCATCGTATTCTGTAAACAAAAATAATGTATACGTATACTACTAATAACAAAAATAATGTATACTTATACTTCTAATTATCTTCTATTTATTCATGTTAATTTATTTAATGAAAGTAGCATATAAGTTGGAAAAAAATTATGGTTAATGGTTAGGCAATAAATCCATTCTTCACACAAGTTGGAGTGATACTTTTTGTAGGTCCGTTAGATGGAAAAAATGATTTTACGGGTTCACAGCTAGTTATTTATCATTGATTCATACATACTTAAACACGTCTTATATTGGGTATACGTTAAGCTATGATTATTTACCTTTAAATTACATACACACACACACACCTATATAGGTATATTGTATCCTAACTGTAAAAATTTTCGTGTGGTGTGGATGGCAGGCATAAAATTTCCCAATTAAACGAGCATGCTCTTCTATCAATTCTCTCTCTCTCTCTCTTTTTTATTTTAATTATTATTATTAAGTAGTGTATTCATTCGAAATTTTTAATAATCTTTTGAGATTTTCAGAATTCAGTGTATTTGGTTTGGACTTCTTAAAATTACGAGATATTCAATTTATTTATCACTTAGATTTATTTGGGTTTTTGTAAGACTTACTAAACTTCAAAAACAAAAACTATATACGAATTCCACGTCAAATCTCTCTGTAGACATAAAATTTTTAATAAATTAAATCTACAATCTTAAAAATCTCTATTTCACTAATTTTAAAATGTTACTCAAAATTAGTAAATAATAATAGTAATAATGATAATAATAATAATATGATGCCTTATGGATAAATATTATTAAATACTCACGGCATGTGAAACCTCATCCACCCACAAGGAACAAACAATGGCGGAAAACATAATAATTTCACCCAAATCCAGCATTTCCCTTTCCCTCGCACTTTTCCTCTCTGCAGCCCACCTCTTCCTTCCCCTCGTCGGGGCGCCCGACCCGGTGCCGGCCCCATGGCCGCCCCAATTCCACTCGATCCTCATCATAAACAGCACCAAGGGTGCCTTGCAAGCGACGGATCTCTGGTACGACTACCCCAACGGCCGAAACTTCAACATAATCCAAAAGCAGCTCGGCGAAAAGCTCTACGATTTGGAATGGGACAACGGCACCTCCTATTACTACACGCTGGACGATAACAGGAAGTGCACGGTCAGGCATTTTCCGGTGGGGATTTTGAGGCCCAATTGGCTCGATGGGGCGAATTATCTGGGTCGGGTGCGTAAAGATGGGTTCTTGTGCGATGTGTGGGAGAAGGTCGATTTCATTACGTACTATGAGGATGTTGCCACCAAGAGACCTGTTTTCTGGGCTTTCTTCTCTGGTATTTTTCGCATCAAATTGTGGTTCTGTTTGGGTTATGTGAATTGCGTTTGGGTTTTTGGTGGGTTCGGTTTGGTTCTTGACTGTGTTGAGTTTGAAGGAGCTTACTTTATCGGTTGGTTTGTTAAATGAGAGCATTTGCTGCTTGTTGACTTGTTTGTATGGCCCAATTGTTGGATCATGGACTAGGGGAATCTGGACCGAATTCGAGCAGCTTAATGTTTTCACGTGTAATTAGTAGTTAAATTTTTCAGCCATTGAGTTGAGCTTCTGCCTAGCAATGCATCTTGTTTGGTTATTTCTGATAACACATGCTGATAAAGCTTTATTTGTTGACCTGGAGTCGAATTCAAACAAACTTTCACTTATGATGTCAAATCATGTATTCAAGTAGTTTATTTGAGAGCTTATCTTGTCAATGTGCAAATGCTTTTGCTCGTTTGCTGCCATTGTAATATTTGACGGTGAATGATGTCGATTTTTTTTTCCCCGATGTATTTTGTTTTTGATTTGGTTCGAATGATGTGGATTTTATTTGCAGGGATGGTGGCTCACGTGATGACATTCGAGGTGGGGAAAGTACTGGACGACCCCAATTGGCAAGCCCCTGTCTACTGTTTTCAGGAGGGCAAGCAACAGAATCAACTGATTCTTGAACCAGCGTCTTGTTTTCCGACGAGAGATGTCCAAAGTACTAACAATCCTGTGTCGATTTAGCAGAACTTCTATTCGGTATCTCTTTCTTCTGTGTATCTTTGTAGCCCATGCAGGCAAAATCCTTAATTTTGTTCGAGTTTTGACTGGATGAATGACTCGTGTTATGCTTTATGATAGAATCAATCTTCGATCTATGTTTCGGTTCGCTTCACCTTTTCAGCTATTCCTAATATAGCACACTTTTTCTAAAGCTAAGGGCATTATTTCATTTTCTTCATCACTAATATATTTTTACTTCCACAAAATGAATCTTTATTAGTCCCTCCCGCCAAAAAAACACCTTAATGAAATCTTTGGAAAATCCAACTACTATATTTGTCTTGAGAAGTATGTGATTATTAAAAGTTTATAAAATTCTTTGTTCCTCCATAGTCCTTGATCATCATTTCTTAACCTACGCTGCAAAAGAAGTCGCCCTATTGTTATGGGATGGAATAAGACAGTCACTAACAACCTAATAAAATAGAATACATTGAATAGATTTAGGATAGGTTCATTTAATGTCTATACGATCAACATATTCGACTTTCTCTCGTGAAACATATAACAGTATCCATAACATGGCCGATCATCTACAGTGACTCACTGTAACATGGAGCTTATGTATCCTGACATTTTACATTGATCCAGTCTAACTTGAAGATATGTTTGATGTTTGTGCTTTGTTTGAGTTTGTTGTGCATGGCCATATTCATCTATAAGATATGATGGCTAATCGTAAATTTATCATGTTTTTCATATCAATGGTCGATCTCGAACAATGATCCCAAATCAGTTATTAAATGAGTCGAGATCTAACTAGCACGAGTTCAGGCACTCAGACTTAAAAATACATGAGACAGAAAGAGCGACACCACCCTAAGGACCAAAGTGACGAGCTCTAGTGCGATTGGCTAAAAATTATTTTGTAAAAAATTATCTCAAAGAAAAAAGTAACTGAAAGATTTTTTTTTTTTTTTTTAAAGTAAGACCATCTCCATTATTCTACTCTAGAGAGTGCCAAAATTTAACTCTCATCTTCAGTCGTTCGCGTTATATTTCATTCTACACGAAATATATTAGTACAAAATAAATTTAAATATAACTATAAAATCAAAATTTAAAATGATTTAGGGAAATAAATAGTTTATTAATGTACATTTTGCCAAAATGATATACATAAAAAATCAATTTAAAAAATAAAAAATTTAAAAAAAATTAGCACAATGAATAGTACCGCACTACATGTAGCGCATTTATATCTTCAGAATAGTGCGAAAATGTAGTGCAACATTAAAACAAGTTTTTCGCACAACTATGAAGTAAAGGTGAATGTAGAGTTACTAGAGTAACGGTGGAGATGCTTCTGCATGCTTGGATACAAGTTTTTTTTTAAAAAAAAAAAAAATCAATCTCAATTCAAATCCAATTCAGGTTTAACCTACCTCAATATCCACAATATTATCATTATAATTAAACGATATTAATCAATTATCCTTACACATCATATAAAATTTAATTCACTATTCATCCATTTAAAAAATTTTAACTACACATCTCTTTCAATCATTTCTCTTCTATTTTTACATCAAATCAACTTTAATTTATTTAAATATTATTTTAATTCAAACTCAAAAACTCACTCAAACATAATCCAACATCTTTTTCAAAATTAACACTGATTAGCCAAAAAATCAATAAAAAAATATAAACAAGCAAGCCATTTAAGTTTGATATATTTTTTGAATGGTGAATGAATATGAGATGAATGTAATGACTATAGTTGGTGTGGTACAAAAATTATAACATAATTATTATAGATAGATGATTGAGAGTTAAAAATATATAAATTAGATGAATAGTGAATTTGGCTCGAAAAGGTAGTTTCTATTGATCTTTATTTCTTGATTTTAATAGTTTATTGATAGAATTTTAAAGGAGAAAAAAAAAATATAAATAGATTAGTAATTATGCTTTGAAAAAATTATATTCAATCATGAATCAAATAAAAATAAATATCAAGACAATATAAATATAATTTTATAAGATCCTCTCCTTACTGGTTGTAACTTGTAAGGAGAGCTGTTAAACGAAATAGATTAGTAATTATTTTGTGAGCTACTAAACATTTTGTGAGCTGCTAAAGCACAGATAGATTAGTAATTATTTTTTTTTACAGAAAAAAAAAAGTATTCAATCAAGGTTCAAATAATAAAAAAAAATGTGTAGACAAAATAAAAAATATTTTTTGTGCGATCATCTCCTATCGATTCGGCTCATGTCATTAATAAAATTTTTATGTGATTTAAATTACGAGCATTCACACGATTAGTTGTGAGCATAGTCATAGAGTTGTGAGTGGCCTGAGAAACCTTATCCACCCAAGAAAGCAACAATGGCGGAAAATCAACCAATCGCCTCCAAACCCAGCATTCCCATTTCCTTTGCGTTCTTCCTCTCCGCAGCCCGCCTCTTCGTCCCTCTCCTCGGGTCGCCTGACCCGGCGCCCGCCCCGTGGCCGCCCCAGTTCCACTCGATCCTCTTCATAAAAAACCCCAGCGGCGCCCTGCAAGTGACGGACCTCTGGTACGACTACCCCGGCGGCCGGAACTTCAACATAATCCAGAAGCAGCTGGGTAAAAAGCTCTACGATTTGGAGTGGGACAACGGCACCTCCTATTACTACACGCTGGACGATAACAGGGAGTGCGAGACGATGCATTTTCCGGTGGGGATTTTGCGGCCCAACTGGCTCGAAGGGGCGAATTATCTGGGTCGGGTGCTTAAAGATGGGTTTTTGTGTAATGTGTGGGAGAAGGTCGGTTTCATTTGGTACTATGAAGATGTGGCCACCAAGAGACCTGTTTTCTGGACTTTTTATGATGGTATTTTGCATCTGCTGTGCCTTTGTTGAGTTCCATTTCTGTGTTTGGCTTTGTGTGTGTGTGTATGTCAGTGTGTGGGCTTTGTTGATGGTGTTTTTGCATCTATTGTGTCTTTGGAACAAATGCCTCCTGGCTATGAAGCTTAGTTTTAAGTTTTTGAAGGTATTATTCTTTTATATTCCTTTCATTTTTTTTATTTTTATTTTCTGCGAAAAAGGGTGTCATGCTCTCATCTTTCATATGATTGAGTGTTGCTTCAGTGAATTTTTGGAGTTGGAAATGAACTAAATAAAAATCATTGTGGCTCCTTTTTTTATGTGCAATTCAATAGTTTTCGGGATTCCGCCAAGTATTGCGCCTTAGGAGATGCTTAAGTTATTTTGTTGAGTTCCATTTTGTGTGTGTGTGTGTGAATGAATGTGTGGGCTTTGTAGGTTGTGTTTTGCCATCTGTAGTGTCTTTGGATCAAATGCCTCCTGGTTAAAAGCTTTGTTCAAGATTCTAACAGTGTTATCCTTTTTGCACCCTTTTTCTGAGGAAAAAAGGTAATTTATCATCATCTCTTCTTTTTTGAGTGGGGTTTCAATTAGTTTTATCAGTGTCGGAAACGAACTGATTCAAATCCCTGTGGCTCCTCATTTTTATGCATAACTCCTTAATTTTCTGGCTTCCACCAAGTGTTGTGCCTTAGGTGATGTGCAAGTGATTTGGTTTTCGGTTTGTTATTTGAATTAATGCATATAGTACCCGAACGAGATTAGTTCGAGCCAGTCGAGCTTTGACAATTGATCGCAAATTGATTACCTGTGTAGTTTGGTGCTGCATGAATCTTCTTGCTGCTGTGGTGCATGCATATGCTTTTGTTTGCGGTGCCAAGTTTGACCGAATGATGTGAATTTATTTTCAGGTTTGACGACACATGTGATGACTTTCGAGGTGGGAAAAGTGCTCGAAGATCCCAATTGGCAGGCCCCTACCTACTGTTTTCTCGAGGGCGAGCGTGCAAATCCACCGATTCTTGAATTGGCATCTGGTTTTTCAATGAGAGATGTACAAAGTACTTCTTGAATTGGCATCTTTGTAGGACGTGTAGTGAATTCAGATTTATGTTCACTCTACTGGACGAATGAAGTGTGATGGTATATGTTGAAGAGTATATATAATCCATACCTTGCCAGCACAAAGAAGCCATGCTGATGCTGCAGCATCCCTGTGTAACTTTCCAGACTTGTGGAACTTCCACTGCAATGAAATCAGTGCTTGATATATATATGTTTACTATTGGCCAAGGCAGAGGTTGTATGTATGTACAAAATTGGCTGTGTGGCCGGGAAAGTTCCATAACAAAGGCCAAACAAACTTTTTGAAATTTTATCAATTTTAGGGATATGAAATTTGTTTTTTTTTTATAAGGTTCACATTTTAGGTTATTCTCACTCCTTTTTTATTTAACTTTTCAATAAAAGATCCAGTTAACTTTATCTTTTGACATAAATATGTGAACCAACTAATTTTATGTTATAATATAATTATGTGAACAAAAATATTATTTTTCCATAATTTATATTTTACATACTTATAATAAAAAATAAAAAATATCTTTAGTAAAGTTAATTTAATAAGAAACTAAATCTATATAATTACCTTTATGCAAAATTTTAATAAAGAATATTTTCAAAAATTGATAATTAAATTTGAAAATATATAATTGAAATATTATTTTTATTAATAATCTGAATATGTAATAAGACTAAGAAATAATATTTAAATACAATTTTCCATTTCCATTTTTCATTAATTTTTTTTCCTCGAAACGATAGAGGTTTTATAAAGCGCATAGAGTGCGAAAAGAAAAACCAGCCCAAGGCTAAATGATACCACCAACGGCTGAATAGACTGGAAGGTAGACACGACGATCGCCTAGAGCCGAGCTAGCAATGCTAGAAAACACATTTACAACACACAAAACAAAAACTATAACTAACTAAAAGATCCCAAAGGATAATGCCCGAGTGAGAAACGATAAAAAAGATAATGCCGAGTGAGAATCGATCCCAACAGGATAATAAAGTACTCACTCGAGTGAAAACAGAGGCCGAAAGCCCAAACCAAAAACACAGGCCTACAAAACGTACAAACACTAAACAAACATAACAAACACAACACGGAACTAAACAAAATTGAACAAAACAGAACAAGCCCTTCCCAAGTAGCAAGACCAAGCGGAGCTAACGGAACCAAGTCGACTCAAGAGAATCCCACAGCTAAAGAGGGTCAACTCTGACACTGCCCAACACCAACTCGGTGGCCTAGCGAAGTTGAAACCCAAGTCCCAGAACATCACCCAAGTCAGACTAGAACCACAACCACAATACCTAACTGCCCAAGAACTGCCACTGGACCGAAATCCTCTAACACTACTAGTGAGTCCGACAGTATCCAGTGAATTCCTCGGAACTCAGAATGAGAATAGGGGAGAGAGCAAGAAGAAGTCGAGGCAGCAGCCGTCCCGACCCCCGAACCACCCAGACCCGCAACGACATAATGAATATCACTATCAATTCATCTAATTGATGCCGGGATTATACCGTTCTGAGGCGAACTAGGAATATGAGGCTTCAAAGCCTTAGTGGTGGTGATGAGTACGATGAGTCAAAGTGATTCTCAGAGTGGCTTGCTAGCATTGGCGATGGTACAACTGGTGGATTGATCGACGGTTGTGTTGATATCGATATCTCTGATGATATTCTTCTGAAATCACTAGGGGATCCTGTTGCTACGATTGTTAAGAGACTACCCGATGTTCAGGAGACAATCTTAGTTATCTGAAGGACAAAGCAATACTCGCTCCCACATTTGATGTTGTTGAGTCCGTTACTGAGTACATAATTTCATTAAACTCTTCCAAAGGATGGACTTATTTCAATTCGGTCACCGCTTGCAAGTCAGATGATGGATATGACCCTCTTGAGGACCTTCATACTCCTGAATTTCTGAACAGGATCAAGTACTCGAGACTTCTGAATCAAAAATTGCACTTGAAGGTCGGCACTCTACTGATGCTGCTGAGAAACATTGATCACTCCATGAGTTTTGCAATGGTATACTTTTGGTTATTAATAAACTCACCAGCCATGTCCTCAAATGTAGAATTTTAAGTGATGCCAGAGCTGGTGATAAGCTTCTTATTCCCAAGTTCACTATCATACCTTCCGATGTGAGGTACTGTTCAAGTTTCAGCGTCGTCAGTTTCCTATCATTGTTTCATATGCTATCAAGAGTCTCGAATCGAAAGAGTTTGAAGATAATGATTTGTTGCGATGACAATTATGACCATAGAAAAATCATAAATGTTGTATATAAAGAAGTTTTTAATAATATTTTGAATTATTTTCTTAATTCTTAATATTTCATGTGTGAAATCTTGATTTTTTGTTTTGTTTATATATTTATATTACTTACTCCGTGCAAATGCAAGGGTTAGAATACTAGTTTGTATAAAAGGGCGATAATTTTCTTATCTCAGTAACTTCTCGGACCACAAAAAGTTACCCAGTCCTTTACAACTTCAGCCATATTTTATAGCTCTGCAATTTAACAAAGAAAGGGAATCTTTTTAGCTTTTTCTTCCTCGAAAAATTATTGATGATGGGTGGACAGACTGAGGATTGAGTACGGCAGCAGCATGTGCAGCGACTCGGTTTCGGGCTCGGACTCGGACACTGGCTCAAACGGGTGGACAAAGGCCCGTGGTGTGGTACTGAAAACGTTGGTCTTAGTCGGCGGCGCGTTGTTGCTGAAGCGTCTCACCAAGTCCACCACTCGCTGGGACCACACGCGCATCGTCGCTGACTCACTCGCCGGCGAGAAGGTAGCTCTTTTGTTGTGTACTTACACTGAGCTGATAGCCTGATTGTTTATTCAGTGTGCTTTTCCGGCTTTCGTTACTGATGGTTTGAATTTTGAATTGGTAGTTTTCGGGAGAACAAGCTGCGAGGGACCCGGACAATTATTTCAATTTAAGGTACACGTTTGTCTTCATTGGCTTTCAGTCCCGGAAATTATCCCAAATGTTT